CTGACATATATCATATTTTGCATCAGTATATATAATTGAGTCTTTTGATGAAAAAGTCTATGCCAAAAATTGTAGAAAGTAATATTTTCTATATTGGGTTAAAGAAGTACTGAAAGAAATTGATTACCAAGATTTTTGAATAAATAGATTAGTTGCTTGAGTTGCTTGAATTTGTATCTTGAAAGATTAATTAAAAGGAGTAAAGAATTGTGTAAAGAAATTGATTTAAAATGAGAGGAATATAAAAAGTTTGATATTGAAGGTTAAATATGGAGTTTTCATATAAGAATGCAAGATTACTACATTGAGTAAAAACATTAGCTTTCCCATTTTCTCTGCAATATATAAACTAGAAACAAAAGGTGATTATGATTATTGAGCTTGATGCTAATTGAGGATATGTGCTGAAGACTAGTATTGGAGGTTTTTGTAATTATTATAGATAATGATCATGTGAGGATAACCTTCAAGGAAATAATGCCAAGTTTTAAAGGATTTATAATTACAAGTAACTCTTTGTTGAAAATATATTTATTTTTATAGCTATATACTTCTGAGATTGGAAAATAATTGAGTGAAGCATTTACTTTAATAAAATACATTTTTATATTATTCAAATATATGAGAATTAGAGTAGAAGTAAATGTAAATTTTAATAGATCAAAAGAAGTCTGAGCAGTAGAAGACTACAAAAAAGGGCTTTCTTTATAATGGGTCATATTAAAGCAAAAATGATTTTAGAGAAGTCTCAAATGAAATGCTAATAAAAATTTACAAAATAAGGACATCACAAATAAAAGTTAGGTGTTGCCACTTAAAAATGGTGGAAAAATTGATAATAATGGTGGAACTTAAATAATATATAGCCCAAAATCTCCATTAAATTTTGATTAGAAAAATATTTTGAGAAGCTGAAAGTTGTAGCTCTTCTAAGAGTCCCACTCTTTTGACACCTACGTAAATGGAGCATACTAAGTTACTAGATATCAACCTCAATATGTTGTTTAATTTCCCTAACCAACTAATAGAGGTGGATTCGAGTAAATTTTTGAATTCAGACTTCCCTATCCAATCAACAAATGTCAATGTTAATATGTAGTATGATGCCCTTAGCTAGTTAATAGAGTTAAACCATAATACTATATATAAACTTTTGAATTTGAACTTCCCGAAATGTCATTCAATCTAATACTACTCAAACTCTTTGAAACCTTTAAGCAATTGGAAAAAGGGTGTATTATTCTTCATAAGCCCTTTCCTTTTATATTTAAACTTTAATAAATTATCTCCTAAGTTGTACTTTTTTGTTGTTTACAGAAGATAAAATTGCTATCAAAATAAATAATAATGAAGAGATCAAAAAAGTTATGAAAAAAAGTATTTGCCATATGGAAAACAATAAAAGTGTTGCTTAGATTAAAATACATCACTATGTATTTGAAGTGGTTATAATGAATATAAAATATTAATTTCCACTAAAAATCTAAGCCTTAAGGTTTTATTTTAACACTTCATGGATTTATGGAAGTGAATATGTTTAGGTTGTAATTGTTAACTACTAAATGAAAAGACCTACCCTTCTTGGGCATAAAAAAGATAAGTATATTAATTATAGACTAAGAATATTAAATAAGACTTTAGAAAGATTCTTTTTGATATATCCAACTCTGCTAGTGAAAGATTATAAATATGACTAAATGGTGGTAATTTCCCCTTTACAAGATTAATAAGATAATCATAAAATCAATGGTTTGGTAAAATATCAATACTCCTCTTGTAAAAAACATCTTTAAAGTCAACATATTTGGAGGGAAGAGTGGATTTAATAATGATTGATAAAGATGATGCTAAATAAATAGTACTTATGAAGATAAAATCAAGATTTTGATAGCCAATATCTCAAAACTCATATAAAGAAATGTGAAAATTTTGGATTAGATAAATATAAAAAGAGTATATAAAAAAAGGATTTTTTTTTTATTAACATCATACCACTTGTAATCCATTGTTAGATTCATCAACTCAAACTAAAGAAGACCAAAAATGATAAAGATGTTTGGGATGTTAACAACATTAAAAGAGATGTTACAACAAGTCCCAAATATTATTACCCCTACTAACTCAATTTCATGTGTAATGAATCTAGAGGAGATTCATTGATTGTCCAAAAATTCAACACACAAGTTAAATATTATGCTGATTGAAAGAGAATGCTATGAGAAAGTATAAACTTCTAGTTGATGAGATTAACATATCAATGTCATTTAAAACCTGAAAAGAGAATATAGATTTAATGGATTGAAATTGAGTAATGATGTGGATAGGTTTGGAGATTCATGAAAAAGGAATGGAGCCAAAAAGAGTAAAAAAGGATGAGTAATTTAATTAGGTTAGATGTTCTTATTTTCCAAACCTATGAGTGCTATATTCACATGAGGATGGAGCATGAAGCTGAAAATATTGCTCTGTTAATTGTTCCAAGACTAGTGCCATAAGACAAAGAACAAAGGTTTGATAATGATACTTCAATCAATATTCTTGCAATTGATTATTATAACAAACAATAAAATCAATGGCAATTATAAAAGATATTGGTGTAAATAACCAAAGAAAACAAAATGAAAAATGATCTATTAAAGTTTAAATATAGGGAGAAATGGCCTATAAAACAAATTCACTCCCTTTTCAATTGATGAAGGGTTTGAGAATATTTGGGGTTAAATGTCTTTGAGTTTGAATAATAATGGCATATATAACCTCATAAAAAGTCCAAATTTAGCAAATAAATCTTGATAAAAGAAGTATGAGAATTTTATACCTCCTCATGAAGGCTAAGGCTAAAATGTTCTATAAGAGTTACACTATATATCAATGGCAACCATATGGTATTTGATGCATAAGTAAATGCAAATTGAAAGCCTTATTGCAACTTGTTGATAATAATGCACTCTTAATCAATATCATTGAACATACTAGTGAAGTGCTGAATAAAAGAGTTGAAAAACAAAACCATTCTTTTCAAAAAGTGAAAATAATTAAAAAAGAGGCATCCTAATAAGAAGGGATTTGATTAATCCTATACAAGAAGTTAGAGTGGAATATTAGCTATATTATATGATAATTTAAATTTTGACTTAGTTCAAAAAGTTATAGACTCAAGACCATTGTGCCATCAAATATTACTAGCATATCATTCTTTGGCTCAAAACTAAAAACCTCTTGGTGCTATGAATGAACTATTATATATTACTCCAATATCTAATATGACTTTTGCAAAGTATTGATATCTGATTGAAGTTGAAGAATAAGATCTAGGAAAACCATATTAATATCAGAGTGTTCAAACTTGTCAAAAGAATTGAAGATGGTCAAACTTTTAATAAATTACTTAATAATGAAGAAGAAAGATTAATTTGTGTTGAACACTCTGGGTACAAATCCATATTAATCTTATATGTATAATAAGTATTAAGTTAAAATGCAAAGGTTTGAAGTTTAATTTCTACCATAGTTAATATACTCCTCACATGTTTATTTTAAAATTTAATAAAATTATAAAATTTCAGTAACATTACTCACTAATCCTAAAGTTAATATGAATTCTTCTTTGGTAATTTTGTGGAGAAAATTGCACAGAAAATTGAAATGACATCTCAAGATTATCCTCGGCCACTGTCACTGGCATAATCCAATGGCTAGAAGACAGTGCACCAGACAGGAAATATAATGGTCATGGATGCAATGGAGAATGAACAATTATTTTATGAAGGTAACTCTTTGTAAACTACTAGTTCGCTTGCTTCAATGTCAAACTTGCGAGCATGCCTTCGTATTATATGTGATCAAACGACATCTTACCATCCCACTTAGTCAATTCTAAATGCATCACCGGTTGAGGTCCATCGATGTCTACGATTGTCACTTTAGCTGATGTTTTGTTCCCATTTGGATTTAACTGCACCGAGACGAAGACTACTGAGGCATGCTCTGGAATCCGAATTTCAGGTGTATCTTCCATAGTGAAATTGATAACGAACACTAGCGCACTGTGTTGTGAAGCATAGCGCACAGCCTTCAACAGATGGCCTTCCACACCATCGTTGACAACTAGCTCAAACGCGAACTTTGTGAAATTGTTGTTGTTTCGCACTAATATGTCAACCCGTTCCTGAAAACGGAGAGCAAGTCACACAACCTGTATGAAACAGAAACTGGAAACACTCTACCTGAGTGTCTCGCTTCTCCAAATACTCCACGGCTTGCTTGGATTCAGGTAAGACCTTAATGTCCATGAACGGGTACGCTTGCCTGAAAATGGCTTTGAGCCTGGTAAACAACACAAACTGGAACGAGTACTCGGAAATCTCCCCGGTCGCCTTTAAGCAGTCTGGCCTGCACATTGATTCCCCATCGAAGCTCCTAAGTGCCTCCATAATCACCCATAAGTGGTCAAGCCTATAAGGATCTGGTGGCGGGTTGACGCTGTCGCTTGTAACGACGCATCGTCGAAATATAACATCTCGTAGTAGCGGTGAAGAAATTTGCACATCATAGCCACCGCCCGCTGCCGGCTGTGAATGTAATACACCTTCGGCAATGAGGTTTCGCAGTTGCACCACCATTTCTTCGTCACAGTGACGACTTTTCGCAGCAAGGAACGTTTTAAGCAGGTCGAAGTACTTGCCAGCTGCATGGCTTCTGAAAGACTTGAGAATCCGACCAAAAGTTTGCTGCCCAAAGACATAGTTCACAAGCTGGCCAGATTCTGCTTCCTCGATCCACTGCCTGCTATTCCACAGCTCATTATTCACTAAGTAGTCCAAGCACGAACCAACTAGGCCTTTGTGACCACCCGTCAACTCTATAACAGAGGTAGCAATTCTTTCCACTGCGATTTTTACTCCTGGTCGCTCAGATTCTGCTTGCCGAAGCAGATCTTCCACATGTTCCACTCCAAACCTCCCTGGCTGCGCGAGGAAACTATGTGAAAATGGTGAGTACCTGCTGGGGGAAGGACTCTCTGTATAGACGATGTTCTGTTCAGCAGCAGTATTCCGTCGATGATCACGCTGCTGTGCCAGGAAGTCCTTGACCGTCTCAACTCCAACGAGTAAGATACCGTTAAAGTTGTAGTCTGTGTCGTCTCTCATTCCCTTGAGAGTGCTGAATAAATCGCCAAGGAAGTCAGGCGGAGCGCTCAGCAACGTATCAGCCTCGTCCACAATCAGGATCACCTTGAGGGGCAGATTCTGCTTGAGAAACAGCGACTTGAAATTCCACTCAGTGAATATCTGCTCTCCCGAAGGCTTGGCCGGAAACAACAGGCTACACTTGCCATGCAGATGATCCCAGAGCAGACCCCAGAACATACTCTTGCTCGTCATTCCATCTGCATTCACCTTGTCCAAGTAGACAACACAGAAGCCTGGTTCCATTGACAGCTGCGCCTTGCAAGCCATCGCCATTGTGCTCTTCCCAGTTTGACGAGCACCTGTGAGAACGCAGTATCTGCCACCTTTGAGCTTGGAAACCAGCAGGGCCACGTCTGGAGCCAAATAGTAGTGCTTCTCAGGATCAGCAATACCCCCGACTGCGAACGTTCGTTTAGGAGCAGTGACGGGCTTGACGACGGGGATGAAAACGTACCTGCGCCCTGCAACTAGCTGCGTCCCACGGACTAGTATCACTCCTCCTGATGACGAGGAAATGTCCTCCATCGCTACGTCCTCCACTGCTCTGTTGTGCCTACGGGCCACGAAGTCGGTGGCTTCTCCCGCAGTGGCGCCACTCACAAATGACCAGGACCGCCCAAATCCAAACACTTGTATCACCGAATTCTCCTGCAGTTGCCGCTTCTCAGACGCCATCGCCGGAAACAAACCCTAGAGAAGATCTCCGGGAGACACAATTAGAGGCTATTCAAGCTTCAGGATCCAAACACACAAGAAATTGATCCTTGGTCAATGTCGGGACTTCACTCTCCTTTTGCTCTACCTTCAGCTCCAAAAGCTTGTGCGTAGGAAGACTTCCAAAAAAAAGAGAGTTCAGAACAATGTTGAAGAAATCATAAGGTCATAAGACAATAACAAGAACACTATAACCAACGCAGACAAGATAGTCTTTATTACATAGAATCATGCAGCATAGTTAATCGTGCTTTGACGACCGTTGAATATGTCTATACTGCCATCACAATAAAGACTATTTTTTGGTAGGAACAATTTGTACTATTGGATATTGACTTTTTCTCTGCTGGGCTATTGTGACAGCAAAAAGATGGTTGTTAGATAGTGAGTATGTTAACAAAATTAAATTTTGGAAGTTTGAAATGAAAAAAATAAATTTCTATTTCAACTTTTAACACTTTAGCAATTAATTATTGCATTTCAATTTAATACTTGACATTTTTACTCTAACTTGTTCATGTTCTTTTTTCCCTTCATTTTACTTTATTTTCCTTAGTCTTTAGCCATGTGATCATGGACAAAGTTTTTGAAATTCAATTTCTAAGAGAAAGTAATTCTTCATAATATAAAAATTAAATTAATTTGCTAATATAATAAATTATTTTGCACCATCTTTTCTTTCCTTTCTTGCTTCTTATTAATATATACTTAGAATATTTATTTTGAAATTTAAAAATTCAGAAATTTTTAATTTATCTTAAAATGCAAATAGTATATATATTTTTTATTATTATAAAATATATATGTATATTATGCTTTTCATTTGAAATCATTTTAAAATTTTACTTTTTTTCAAGATAAATTACACTTTGCAATTAGATAAAATATTTGACCTAGTTGAGACCTTAAGACCCAAGTGTTTATTATCAACAAATTGATTTATCTATAAGATAAACTAACATGTAATTTCCTTTAAACTTTTAAGTAATGTAAGAGTAGGACTCAATAATAGCAAGCTTTATCATTTCACAATAGCTACAACTATTCTAAATTAAGCTTTCAAACTTAATAAATATACCACTTAATAGTAGAGTAATAAATTTTGGTTTGATAGATCACTATTGTATCTTCTATTAGAATTTTGAAATATATTTCATATTTTATATATATATATATATATATATATATATATATATATATATATATATATATATATATATATATATATATATATATATATATATATATATATATATATATATATATATATATATATATATATATATATATATATATATATATATATATATATATACATCTATATATATATATATATATATAGATAGAGAGATAAACTCATCTTGATACAAATGCCCTCTTCTCTTAAGCTATGAGATGTGATCTTTGTATCATATAACATTGGGCTCAACTACATAAGAAACAATAGAAAACATAAAACCATAAACAGGACTATATCACGCAAAGTTTCAAGTATTACAAGGTGAGATCATTAGCCATCTTTTGGTTCGTAATCACCTCCTAAAACATGTGATAAACATCTTGAAAGTTAATTTGTAACATGCACACTTTAGTATTGTGGAAGTATTTGCCTTTGGTCTTTATGGTAATGGCATGGTTTACTTCCCAAGAGAAGGGAGAACACAATATTAAGATGAACTTGGGCCACTTATCTTACAAATGAAAAGAAAGTAAGGTTATAATAAACCCCTCAGAATGTATTTTAGACAATATATGTAATAAGCTTACATTAATAGTTATTTTTGGTTTGCTTAAGCAAATCTGTAGCAAGTATATAGATGCTTAAAGGGAAATCAAATCATGAGGTATTAATACCTCACTAGAACACTTAGTGATGCATCTAACAGTTTGATCAACATCTAAAACCTCAATCACAACATTAACACTATAAAAACCTCAATCACTCCTACCTTAGTGATTTTGAGAGAGCTCTCTAGTGAATTCTGACTATGTGTCAAATTCCCCAATGTCACTTGCTCTATGGCTTGGGCTTTGGCCCATGTTCATAGAGTAGCTTCCGCCTTAGTGCATTCAGCCAGCTATTGTCCCCACAATGTAGTAGAAGTGCAAGACACATAATACATACAAAGAGGATCTTGGTAGAGGAGGACTTTTGAACTCTTTGTGGGATACTAAGAGACCAGCATGTTGAAGAAAAGTAGCACTTAAGTGAAAAGATGTATCATCAGTTAGGCCTATATTCCACTAAAGGAAGTTTATTAGCTTTGGCCAATCAAATGAGTTAAATTCCTATTCCACTTTAACCCAAAAGTTCTTAGATGGTAGTGAGGTTTAGCCATAAAATATACTAGGAACTTTGGGTTTATAGGAAAACTTTTAATAATAAAATTTGCTGAGTCATTAAAAGTGGCACACAAGATTTAATCCCTATTAGCATGGTTCCACATGTTACCATTTAAATTTAAATCACAAATTTAGGGATTAGGGCTTGTAAAATTTGTGTGTGTGTATGTATATATATATATATATATATATATATATATACATGTATTACCATGGCTATCTAATACATTAATTATAGTACTATAATATATAGACTATCTATTTATGACTGAATTTGGTCCATCTATTCTTGTATATAAACAGGGGTTAAACCCTAATTAGTATACCTATTTTTATTTCCCGAACACTCACATTGGTGAAGACATAGGCATTACAATTTGTCCTTGAAAAGCAAAACTTTTTAGCAATGTTTTGCTTTAGTGTTCGGGATCATGTTTTTTGTTCTTATTTCTTCATTTTCTTAGATCTAGATTTGTATTAGCTTTTTGCAAGATTTAGAACTCTAGCTATCATTGTGCTTAGATTTACATTTTCTTTTAATCTTCAATGCCACATTGTCATCGATTAAGGAATATGTCACTTGAGGTTGCTATTGTTATTTCGTTGGATCAAACTTTTGTGCTATGAAGTGTGATTATATTGGTGCTATGCCCATCTTTGGTGTGTTAATGTCTCCAACTTCTATAGGATATGATTACACAGTTTGTTTTATTCTCGGTGTTCTACCATCTCTTGTGAAGCATAATTGTGACATTGATTAGCAAGTTATGAATGATGTAGTTTGGTTCTTGGAAAATATTCAAGGATCGAGTTTATGGGAAGATGATGTGTATGAGCTCGAGTGGATTCCAGATCATTTTGATAAGCTTGATTATTATAGAAATACCTTTGAAGATGAAGTGGAGATTTTGTAAGGTAGATATTAATTTTTCAATTTGCCATTTGATTATTTCTTTTTACCTTCTGCTCTTTCCCAACCTTTTTCTTATTTCTCAGTTTAAGCCACTTTCTCATGTTCTTAGTATTTCTTCCTCATTTGCAGTGTTTTCTTTTCCTGGCATATCAATCATTTATAACTTTAATAATTCTTATTCTTAGCCTAAAGTTGAGTTGAGTGTTTTTTATCCTCCTCATACTAATCTAGAAGTTGAGTGTGTGCATAAAGTTGAAAATCTTGTTTTTATTTCATTAATAGAGTCTTTGATTGGTTTTGGTGTTGAATATTCCTTTGTTCCAAAGGTTGAGTCATTTTGGCTAAAGTTTCAAGTTAAATGCATATCCCCACTTGTGAGTGCTTTTGAGAGCTTTACTTTACCATTGTTGTTGAGGAGTTTATATATTCCCTTAAAAGTGTGAATATTATTATTGATTTTCCCATCTCAAGTGTTGAATTGTGTATTGATGTAAGCAACAAACGAGAACAACTTGAAATATAATCCATAAAAGTTTAAATATAAAGAAAAAGGGCCCATAAACAAGAGGGCATACTTTTTTCCAATTGGTTAAGGGTTTTGGGATACTTAAGGTTAAGCATCCTTGGATTTAAATAATACTAGGTTAGGTGACCTCCCAAAAAGTCCCAGACCCTTAACATTTGGTATCAGAGGGTGTCAAACCGACTCTGTTAGTTGGCTAAGGGAATCACATCACATATTGAGATTAATATCTATTAGGTCTGACTATTGATTGGCTAAAGGAATCATACTACATGTTAAGATTGACATCTGGCAAGTCCAATTTGCTCTGGCTAGGCTTGATCCGAGGAGTAGGGAGTCAATAAAGCAGGGCTCTCAAGAGTGTTGCGACCCTCAACTTCAGTTCACGAAGGCATGAACTTGTAAGGAAGCATGGTGGTTAGCTAAGGGAATCATACCATATGTTAAGATTAACATATGTCAGGTCTGACTCTATTAATTAGATAAGGGAATTACACAATATATTGAAATTGACATTTAGTTCACTCCAGCTAGGCTCAACCCGAGGGGTAGGGTGTCGAGAGAGCGGGGCTCTCATATTAAGATTGACATCTAATAAGTCTAGTTCACTTTGGCTAGGCTTGACTCGAGGGGTAAGGTGTCAAAAGAGAAAAGCTCTTAAAAGAGTTATAGCTTTTAACTTCCGTTCACAAGGGCATAAACTTGTTAAGAAGTGTAATGGATTGTAAATAATTAAAAGGAATGATTCGAAATACAATCCATAGAAGTTCAAATATAAAAGGAAAAGGCCTATGAACAAAAATATACCTCAATTAGTTAAGGGTCTTGGGTTACTTGGGGTTAAGCGTCCTTGAATTTGAATAGTATTGGGTTGGGTGACTTTCTAAAAAGTCCAAAACTCAGGAGATTATAGTTAAGAAGGTTGAGAGGTGTGAATCTTTTACTTATATTATAGTAATTGAAGTATTTTATAATAGGAAGTCCTCTATTTTCCAAACTTTAAGCATATATCTTTCTTTTGATTTCTTTATTTTTGTATTACAAACTATTGCAACTTCCTTTTCTAATGCTTCTTTATCCACTTTTTCATATTCCACAATGGTTTTTCCTCAATTTTTCTTGTTTTCTCCTTTTTGCCCTAACACTTTAAACTTTTTTATCTTTAGAGGAGGGGGTAAAAGGGGTCTAGCCTTGATGATGGAGTAAGGGTGAGTGGA